CTCAAGTGGGCAACAGAGAGTCACCCAGACACTCGGCTGCTCCTCTGCATCACCCCTGCCCCGCCCCCACCCAGGCCACCACCTCTTGCCAGGAGACACACAGCAGGCTCCGCAACAGTCATCCTGCCTTCGGTCCTGCCCCTCCTAACTTGCCTCCCCAGGTGGCCTGGGTGGTATGTCTCAAGTAAGGTCCTTCCTGATCGTGTCACATGCCTGAATTCTCATTGCCCTTATCCACTTCAACTCTACTTAGGGTCCTCAGCCTCTAAATCCTCAAATGTGTCCTCTCAGGTTCTTGGCTTGCAGAGGGAACAGTAGATTTTATCTAGCTCCTAATCTTTCAGATGCCCCTTCCAGGAAGGCTTCCCAGACTTCCCCACTGCAGAAGAAAACTTCCCCGCTCTGGGCTCCCACGGCACCTGCTGCGTCTGGACCTCCACCCTGGCACATGCGCTGGGTATTGCACAGGGGCTCTTCCCACCAGGGGCAGGCCTGGTCTAATGCTGAGCCAGGGCTCAAGTCAGAACAAACGAGCAAGTGACCCGGCCAGCCTGTTCCAAACATAGAAACTTTATTAATAACAGCTGCAATGCAGCAGATACAAAGGGCTGGCAGGGGGATGAGGATGGGTCCCAAAGTCCCCAAGTCCTAGCCCAACTCTGTGTCCACCTGGGACCCCTTGTTTTCCTTCTTCCTCTCCTCCTCATGCTGCTTCTCCAGCGGCCCACACAGGTCCTGGAAGACATGGGCGGGGTGGGGTGGGGAGCAGGAAGGACAGTGAAGGTGGAGGGAGGTTTTTGTGGGGATGGAGTAAGTTCTGGACTGGGGAACCAGCCCAACCGGGGTTGCCAACACTGGCTCTGCCACTTGGGCAAGTGACTTTCCCTGGCTCAGCCTCAGCTTATTCATCTCTACCATGGGGGCTCAAACCCTTAAGAACAACTGGCATTTACTGAGCACTTATGACCTGCCAGACCCCTATGCTATGTCTCCTCATTCCTCACAACCACCACCATTTTACAGATGATGAAACTGAGGCTCAGAGTGGCCACATGACCTGTCCCAAGCCACCCACCTAGATGAGGGAGGTAAGCTGTCGACCAGGTGGTCTGACTTGGTGCCTGAGCTCCTAGCCCTTTCCCGGGCTTCACAGTGCAAGGAAAGGGGTTCCAACCACTTCTGCTCATGTGAATTGACCTCAGGTGGCAAACTCATGAGATGTTTTATCTTAATAATTATGAACATATTTTATGTATATCAAAAAAGTGTAAGCAGCTCATCAGCTGTGTGATTTCACAGGTATTACTACAGAGGAAGAGACCAAGGAAAGCCTTTCATTCAAGACAGGTTTAAAGAAAAGCATGAAGGTAATGCTTATACAGGCAAGCCTCAGTTATACAAAATTGGGACGGTGGTCTTGGACTTGCTGCAGTTTGGGCGACACTGAAGCCACAATACCAATTCCTGCCACACAAGTGTTCAACACGAGCAGGCAGGAGTCAAAGCCCAGGGGTCATTGTTAGTTATCGATTCAGACTCATGTTGACCCCGCGTATGCAGAGCAGAACTGCTCCACGGGGTGTGCAAGGCTGTGACCTTCTGGGAGCAGACAAGCCAGTCTTGAGGTGCCTGTCGGTGGGGTCGAACTGCCAACCTTCGGACTAGTGGTCAACATTTAACCGTTTGCACCACACAGGGACGCCCCATGTGTGTCTCCTACCGAAGTCTCACCACCACGCCTCGCTCATTCCCCTCCTGTTGGCCTCTCAGACCCTCCCCACCTGCTCTGGGAGTCCTCCCTGAGTTTACAGTGATCTTCCCCCTGGGCTCTCATTCACCACCACAGGCCTACGTGAGGCTCCATTGCCCCTGCCAGTGAGCAGGAGCTTAAAAGTAGGATATCCTGCTCTGCTGTGCAGCCTCGGCTGACTGCTTTCCCTCTCTGGGCCCCCAGAGCTGCCCGAGGCAGGGTCAACCCCAGGCTAACGGTGAGCACTGGCCAGGCCCTGTTGCGTTTATTTACCTTTTTCCCATCGGTGTACAGGATTTCTGTCTCCCGTAGGCCCATGCACTTGAGGGCTTCGTGGAACTCTCTCAGTTGTTCTTCGGTCACCTCCTGCTTGTCAGCTGCAGTGAGGAGCAGGGGGCTGGGTGAGGATGCTGCAGGGCCCCGTGGAAGGCCAGACAGGGCTGGAGTTCAGGGAGCACAGTCCTCGGGGTGGGTGAGCCTGGGGTGGTGCTGGGGTGGGTTGGAGTTGGGGACTGCCGAGGGTGCCTACCGTAGAAGGACAGCCCCCGGTTCAGCTCGTCTTCCGGGTAGTAGGAAAACATGAAGGTCTTAGGGTCCTTGGTGAGCAGCACATAGGCAAAATGTTCTGTGCCCCACTCTGGAGGAGAAAAGAGCCTCTGGGGTGTAACCACGAGCAGGGCACAATAAGGAAGCCTGGGTGTGCCCAGGGTCACACAGCCGACCAGTGAAGACCCAGGATTCAGCTGGGCTGCCATGTCCTCAGCTCCTACTGTGTGCTGGGCCCTGTGCTGAATGCTCTCCATGCATACATGGAATATGTCCAGACAGTGCACACGTGGAATACACAGCAAACACATGGAATACATAGATGGAACATGCATGTGTGTAATACAGACACGGAATATGCAGACAGACATACATGCATACCCACATGCATATGCACATGGACTCAGGAGCCCATATAGACTGTGGAAGTCAGGGTCTTTCTTCCCATTTTGCAGGTGAGGAAAATGAGGTCCCGAGAGGAGCCTCAGGGCTGTAAGTGGTGTCGGTTCAGTTCCGTGGGCATTTTGTGCCCCTACTTTGTGCCATCTCTGCAGTGATGACTGGGACACGGGCGAAGTCACTGTCTGTCCAATACATGGGTTGCCCCCTTCACTTCCAGAGCACCATAAAGAATAGCTAAGAGAGAGGCAGGTCTGGAGCCAGCCTTGAGTTTGAACCCTAGTTCTAATTACAAGCTGTGTGACCTCAAGGAAATTACTTGACTTCTCCGTGCTTCTGTTTCATCATCTGTAAGTTGGGCACAATCATTGTCATGGTTTTGGGTTATTTGTGAGTATTCAGTGAGTTAATTCATGTAAAGGACCTCAAAAAGTGCCTGGCACATAGTAAGAACTCACAATGTTGGTAGTTATTACTAAGATTATTGAAGTGTGCAGGCACTGGGACCCCGTATATACCAGACATGAGCCTTCCCCGTGTTTTCTGGGCCCAAAGCATCCAGCCCTCCTCGTATAGGCCATGCAGCCCACCCACAGTCCTCGCTTCCCACACAGTGGCCTCCAGTCTAAGGGCCAGCCCTTACCGTATCTGGAGAGGGTCCCATTCTCCCGCTGGACCTGTAGGTAGCTGGAGTTATAGACGCACTGGCCTCCGCTAAAGTCAGACACAAGGTGGGAGAAAAGAGTAAGATGGTCAAGGAGATAAGGACAGTCGCCTATCACAGTCGTGCAGGGTCAAGACTTGGGCGGAGATTGGAGTCAGCACTCCCACTCCAAGGATGGGAAGGCTGAGGGCAGGACTGGGGAGGGACTTGCTCAAGGTCTTCCAGCTGCTGGGAGTGGAAGCCAGAAGCTGGTGCATGCTGTGAGGAGGGTGAGGAGGGCGGGGGCTGGCGTGTGGGGGTCTCACGTGGTCTGGTACTCTCTGAGTAGTATCACATCTTCTGTTATGTTGGGGGTAAAATAAAAGAAGGTTGCCTGGATCTGTCTAGCTGACTGGTTGTACTCAGGATGGCGAAAGACCGCGGCGATGTAAAACCATTTGCCAGAGAGCTGGGGAGAAACCGGGAGCTGGTGATGGGGGGCTTGTGGCTGAATCCTCGACAGTCAGCTGGGAGGAGACTCAGCTAATCTCTTGCTCCATTTTGCAGATGAGGAGACAAAGAGGCTCACACCACGAATCAGGCACCCCTACAGGCAGCCTCCCCATGCCCAGCACAGAACCACGCCCTGCTGAGGTACCTTGGAACGGGGCTTCTGGCTCCAGAGGCAGGGGAATGCCACCTGAGGCCACCCAGCTGGTCAGAGCTTCACCCCAGGATCCAGGAGAGGAAAGGATAGAACCAGGAGCAGGGGGCTAGCCACGAGCCAGCAGGTGAAGGGAAACCCGGCACTCACCCGCTCCAGCATGGCATTAGTGACCGGTGCTGGCTTCAGGATGGCACAGGCTGGGTCTTGGGCATCCAGCAGAGGGAGGAGACTCAGGACAGCAAGGGCCCAGGGCAGCGCCATAACGAGAGAGGAAGCACCTGGAGCCAGTCAGACTGGTGGCCTGAGAGCTCACTGACCTTTATAGCAAGCTGTGGGAGGGGCGCCTGGGGCCCAGCAAGGCTCAGGGTCAGGGCTGTGACACAATCCAAAGGCACCTGAGAAAAGCCCTGCACAAAACCTTCCTTTCTCTCCCCACAGCCAGCTGCAGGTAACTTCTCCAAGCCCAGGTCTAAAGTGGGTTCCTGAGGTTGAAGAGGTTACACAGATCTGAGGGTCTGGCTGATTTAAGGCCAGAGTGGGCATGGGATGGAGTGATGGTAGCATGTGTGAGTCCTTAGATTTCAAAGGAGGGCTCACCCACTTGGCAAACTCATGTTTCCATCCAATTCCTGAACCACTGAGCACCAAAGCTTGAGTGGGACATAAAGCAAATGCTGAGGGGGCCTTGGAGAGTTCCCAGCTGGCATGGGAGTGGAGGTAGGGTGAGCGACACAGATTCAATTCCAACTGAGCGTGGTCACAACTGTGGAAGAGGAAAAGTTCAGAGGGGCCCCAACCCAGCCTTCGAGGCAGGGACTTTTCCAAAAGGAGGCAGCATCTAAGTTGAATGTTTCTTTCCAGCAAACATGTTTCTTGAACCATCTTCCAAAGTCTAAAACAAGAAATGATCTCCATGTTGTCCCCCATCCCCTGCCATGGAAGAAGGGAGCTTGCCTTTCTTTTCACCAATATATCCCCAGTCCTGGGACAGTGGCAAGCATGTAGTGGGTCCTTTAAATATTACAGAATGAATGATTCTACCTGAGGCTCCTCTCGGGACCTCATTTTCCTCACCTGCAAAATGGGAAGAAAGACCCTGACTTCCACAGTCTATAATTAAAGAGTTTCAAAAAGTATTATTATAGTATACTGACAATTTTGTGTTCTTATTCTATTAAAATATTTTGAATAATTTTTCACGTTTCAGAATATCAATGGCTGTCAAGTTAATTCCGACTGATGGTGAACCACGTGTGTCAGAGTAAAACTGTGCTCCACAGGGTTTTCAATGACTGATTTTTTGGCAAGAAAACAACAAGCCCTTCCTCCAAAGCAACCCAAGACAGCCCAGTGCATTAATGGTTTGGACCACCCAGAGACTCCTGTTTCAGTACAGTCTGTCATAATTGGAATGGATCCATAGCCTTTCACTGACTTAATAGAGTCTTATTTCCTTAATCCTGTCCTTTCTTTACATCTTTTAGAATTTTATATTGTGGTTTTTCCTCTGATGATAAGTGAGAGTAATCAAATTGCTTTCTAAAAATACTGTACTATCCAAAAGAAAGAAAAGCACGTGTCAACTCAAAGTCTTGTACGTGAATGTTCATAGCAGCATTATTCACAATAGCCCTTAACTAGAAGCAACACAAATGTTATCAGCCAGTAAATGGGAAAACAAATTGTGGCATCTTAATACAATGGAATATGACTTAGCAATAAAAAAGAATGCACGACTGATAGATATAATGATAGGAATGAGTCTCAAAACCATTATGCTGAGTGAAGGAAGCCAGGCATAATGGAGCACATAGTGTGTGATTCCACTGACACGAAGTTCTAGAACAGTCAAAACTCATCTACAGTGACAGAAATCAGATCAGTGGTTGCCCAGAGCGAGGAGGGCAATTTGACTACCAAAGGGCACAAGAGAACTTTCTGAGGTGGACGACAGGGTTCTACATTTTCACTGTAGTGGTGGTTTGCACACATGTATATATTTGTCAAAACTCGTTGAACTGTAGACCTAAAATGTGGGCATTCTGTTGTATGCAAATTATACCTCAATAAAGACCATTTTTTAAAAAGACCTTCCCCTGAACAGAAAACATAAACACGAAAAATCAAAAACATTAACTATATTTAATGTTTTACCATCTTAGCAATGCCCAAATGAATTCCTTTCTCCACATTCTTGTCAAAACTAGAATTTCCCTTTTTTTCTTCTTTTTTGTTTGTTTCTTTGTTTGCCAGCTCAGTTTTTTGAATTTGCATTACTTTAACTTGAGTTGTGAAGGAATGACTGGAGCGCATCAGGACGAGAAGATTACAGGACGCATCAAGGCACTGGAAGCAGCTGTGTGTGGGTGGAGCATGTGATGGGGCCGGAGTGTCTTCTTGGCAGGAGCCGAGGCCTGCAGGGCTAGGAAGCCAGGCTGGGGACTTAGGGCTGGACTTCAGGGGCACTGGGGAAAAAGGAAAAAATGGAAAGGAACGGGGAAGGAAAAAAACAAAACTGCCCCTTAAAAAAGGCAACCCGCCAAAACTAAAGGGCCGAACGAAACTGGAAGAAACCCCGAAAACAAAGCCCCCGGAATCCCCAACAACCCAAAAACAAAAAAAATTCCGAAGCCAAACCCTCAAAAAAGGAATGAAACGGAACAAGGGAAAAAAAAGGAAAACCCGGAAGAAGGGGCCCCCTAACCCAAAGAAAAAAAAAAAAACAAAAAGGCAACCTCCGTCCCGAAGGGAAAAGGGAAAGCAAAAGAGGCCAAGAAGTGGGTGAAAGGAAAACGGGAAATAAGGGGGGAAAAGAAGAAGGGGCTGGCAAAAAGAGGGGAAAACAAATAAAAGCAAAGAAAAAAGGAAGGAAAAAATTTTGGAAGGGAAAAACTTTTTAAAAAAAGAAAGGTCACTCTGTCTGTCTGCAGTGGGGGTATGAGGAGAGCGAGGGTGGCAGAGTAGACTTGGGAGACCAGTTGGAGGCTGTTGCAGCATCCAGGTGTGAGATGATGGGGACGGATTCAAGACACTGTTTTAAGGAGAAGCTGACTGTTGTGTGGGGACAACACTACCATTAGACCTGTACCTCAGCCCCAAGTCCTGAGCTTTAGACGGCTCCACATATCACACATTCACACACACACACACACATACACACAGTTTATTAAATAACACAATCACCCATGTCACTTGGGATCTGGTACCTGACACAGAGTGACCCAGAGCCCTAAACATCCACTTCCACGCCCAACACTGTTCATACCCCAGGGAAACAGTTCTCCACATGTGTTACAGAGTAAAACTGCTCCATAGGGTTATTTTTGGGAGGGGGTGGGGGAAAGCAGATTCCCAGGCCTTTGTTCCGAGGAGTCGCCGTGTGGGTTTGAACTGCCAACCTTTAGGTTAGTAGTCGAGCACAAACTCTTTGCGCCACCCGGGGACCTCCTGCACTCACCCTAACAGGGTACAATTTTCTCCATCTCCTTACATTCCAGGGATGCTCCCATGCCCCTGTGGACTGAAGTTCTGGGGCAGCCTTCCCTAACCTGCCCCGAAATCTGGCCCTGGCACAATGTCAAGAGAAGTTTGGCAGGAAAGGAGACAGAAAAGCCCTCAAGGCAGCGTAGGGTGGTGATCAAGAGCTATCCTGGCTCTACTACTGGGTAGCTGTGTGACTTGGGCAGGTTACTTAACCACCCTGTGCCTCCATTTCTTCACCTGTAAAGTGGGATAATAACAGTACCTACTTCACTGGGTTGTTATGACGATTAAATCAATTAATATTTGTAAAATGCTTATTAAACGAAACAAATGTGCTTTAGGACTTTGCTGATTATAATAGCCATCACCATTTGTTTAATGACTAAGCTGGGATGGGAGGAAAGCAAGAAAGACTGCAGCATTAAATCAATACTCAGTGACTGCAGGTTACATCCCGCTTCTAAAGACATCAGAACGCCTGCCAAAATATGTATAGCCCAGGCTCAAGAAAATAGACTACTTCCCCTATTATACAGCTGAGGAAACAATGGCTTGGACAAGCTGACATGGCAAAGGTCATATCAAGTTTTAGGCGATCGGGGAAATGCACCATTTGAAACCATTCATTTTCTGAGAAAGCCAATTTAAATGTTTCTTCACCAAGACCAGGGGTTAGCTCTGTGTCTGACGACTAACCTGTCATCTTCTAGATGAGCAATCAGGAAAAATACACTGGTAGAGCAAACGGTCCTAATTAGGAGCTTTGTGTCTGGGCTGAGGAAATAGCCCCAAAAGAAGATTTACTCAAGTTCAAATCCTGTTGTGTGCTCTTGGGTGGCTTATGCAACCTATGAGGGCTTCAATTCCTCATCCGAATAACCAGGGTAGTAACGTGTGTTGCATAAGGTTGTGCGTGAGATGAAAATGTATCACGCTCAGCGTGGCACCTGGGGAAAGCCCAGGCCAGCCTGTGTTTGCTCTGTCCACAGTGAATGAAATCCCAGCCATGGGCAGTCACATCCACCATGCAACAGCCCAGGCTTGGGAAAGCGCGGGGGTGGAGGCTGGCACAAGTGCACAAGAAATTGTAGCCACTATTATAATCTATGCTGGTTATTGGGTAGAATCATATGAAATGGTCAATTATGTAGGCCAAAACGCAGTTGAACACCAATTTCTTATGGTTCACCCTGCTATTAGGTCTCTGGGTGGTGCAGATGGTTTGAGCCTCCACCGAAAGGTTGGCAGTTCCAACCCAATCAGCAGCACCATGGAAGAAAAGGCCTGGCGATCTGCTTTCATAAAGGTTATAGCCATGAAAAATCTATGGAGCAGTTCTACTTTGCACACATGGGGTTACTACGAGTCAGAATTGACTCACCCCACAAGACAATAACAACAATAACACCCTACTCTTATTTAACAATAGCCCTGTCTGTGGTTGGCAAACAGGGCAGGATATATCATTCCCACTTTGCAGAGGGAGAAACTGAGGCCCATACAGAGAGGTAACGACCCACTCAAGGCCATGTGCCGGTCAGAAAGCTGGGACTGGAACACAACCGCCAGCCTCTCCCCTTCTCGCCTACCCCTCCCTCCCTTTCCCAACGCTGGGATGTTGTATGGTGGATGTGACTGCACTTGGCTGGGATTTGATTCATTGTGGACAGAGCAAACACAGGCTGGCCTAGGCATTCTCCAGGAGTGGATCTGACTTGACCCAAGGGAGTCCGCCCTGGCTATTGTTGACATTCGGTTGTGCAATGGGATTGGGAACTGCAGGTACTTCCAGCTCAGGGAGCT